GGGTTTGTAATGGAAGGCATGACATGTGATTGTACTAGTGGATTACGGCATTTCTAAGCCAATAATTATCACCGCAGCAATCAGATTGCACAGCCTACTGCCACTAAGCATGCAGTCACCTTATGTCCATTGATCAGTTCCCGGTACAGGTTAGTGGGGCTGGTTAAACATCAGTCGGCCTCGGACAGCCTAAGTCAAAGGGGTCATGAAACGCTTTTCCAACGTTTTCCTGTTTAGTTTTCCTCCTCAACTCGTAAATCGCACATTCCACTAAACAGTTCAAGAAGGCGAAAAGAGGGGAGACCCCTCTTGCTCGGAATCTGGTTTTTGTACCCGGACAGAGCCATTGTCCCCCTAGAAGATTGGCCCGTCGCTCAAAATTCAGAAAAAAGTTGCTCTCCCCAACCCGTTCACCCGGCAGCTGACAGTGCTGTGGAAGCAACGTGCTCGTTGGGCCAGCCACACTTGCAGTGATGTGATTGCTGCGCCAATTGCGCCAAACTGCGCCAAGGGGCTAACCCTGCTACATCCTGCTACATTTTGCCAAAATATGAGTAATCTGCGCCATGCCTGCGCCAAAAAGACAATTTCGGTCGCCTTTAAAAACCAAAACTAAGCTGAGTACCGTAATTGAGCATGTATGTGTTATGTGGCGTAAGCGGCCGCCTGACACAAAGTACCCTCCATCAATCGTCCATTTGGTCTTGCATGGTTTTCCCACCGTCTCGCGTTTTGTGCTGTACTTGTATCGTGGGTCTCGTCTCGCGTCTTTTTTTTATATATTCAACAATAGACGCGGGTGTGTGCGGACGCTAGCGTGCCGGGTACCAGACATTCCGTCATGCTGTGAAAAGAAACCACGTTTTCGCGTGGCGGGAGTTACTTTGTGAGCTGAAGCACTCGCTCCTGAAAGCAACGGCTGCGGGAAAACTATATTTCGTTCCTGCCTTCCAGCCACTGTGGTAGCGCGAGGTCGGGTGTTGCTGTCCCCACGTCGCTGCCAATAAGTGGCGCCGCATGTTCACCAACATTCCTGTTCTTGTTTAGATCATACGCTACTACAAAACTCTCTCTTTAACTCAAAGACTGCTGCGTCGAAGGATTGACTACCTAGGTTTCTCTCGGTGGGCTTTGTGGCTTTGTTTCGAGAGGAACCCCAGCATGTGAAAAATCTGCCGCGAAAGAAAGTCGCTGAAGAGAAGTGAGCAAAAGCAAAGAAGGCAATCTATTTACGCTGAACCCGCACAACGCACTTGTTTGTCTCGAGTTCAGTCGTTGCACAAAGCGCTCCAAGAACTTTTTGACCCTGGCTCGCGATGTCTTGCATTGAAGAGCTCAGTTTCTTTTTTTTTATTGTGTGTTTAGCTTGTACCGTGTTTGCCGGCCTGGACAGCATGCGCGGCTAGACTGTTTTTTGTCGTATGCTCGACAATTACATTTTCCATACAATTTTGGGAGTCACTTAGCGACGAAGCACAGTGGCATGGTTTCGGTTTCGATCGAACAGCCGTTGTCTCCGCCCGCGCTACGAAGCACGCACAACTGCACGCCTGCCGAAGTTGCCCTCACGTTCATGCGAACATGATTGCACACAGAGGCACCAGCCGGGACGCTTGCAATCCATTGTTTCACGTTTGCTAACTTTTGACGAAAATCTGGCATGTCAGGAACCAGTAAAACGGTGGCAAGCGGTTTTGCGGAGTTGCTCGGCAATGCCTACCGGACTGTACACTTGTGGGATGCCTTAGCAGTAAAAACACAAGCAGGGAGCTCTGTCGCAACACAAGCAGCGAGTTCTGTCGCAATACGTCACATCACAACACTACATAACACAAAGAACCCTTCATTTGTACAGCACTTAAAACTAATATTTTATTTTGTTTTTCTAAGAATATCTGCTCCAAAAGCCACTTTTGCTGCTCAAAAACACTGTCTTGGTTGCTCCAAAAGCCACATTTGCTGCTCCAAGACACTTTTTTGATTGCTCCGAAAGGTGCTCCAAAATGGCCTAGGCTAATCACATCACTGCACTTGCCACGTGATCACGCTCCTTCGCACATACCCACGCGCAGAGAATGAGGTCAGGTGATGAAAGGGAGGCGGCTGATTGGTCCGGCAAGCGCGTAGCTTCCACCACAATATGGGCTTGGGGGTGAAGGGAATAAGTGAAGTCCGGTTTCGTGTGACGTGCGTTTGGACCCGATGTCGCGTTTTTGGGACCGCGGATGTATCACAGTGAAAAGGCAGAGAGCTTGCGAAGGGGAGGAGGTACAAAATAGCCTGCTGAGTTTTAAAATTTTCGCACTGAAAGTCAGGCTTTTGACTTTCTGCCTTTTTTCTTTTCACCCACTGAACGATGTGTTATTAGTAAAATCCCAATCTAAAATGTTTTATCCCAACCCAAAATTTGTTTCATGGGCCCTTTAAACGGGTACGGAAACAAAAATTGAAATATTCAGATTTCGCTCGGAAATGAGTCAAGCATGACGGATAATAACCGTAAATGATAATCGCGCGTTTGTATTTTGAATGATTGGCCATATTTTTCGTTCCAAACGGTGCACTCGAGCAAGCGCTCGAAGAGAAGCGAACGGAGAGCGCGATGCGTCATGGGATATCCGGCGCAAACAAAAACAGAAAGAAAAGATTTCCCGCGTTCGTGGAGTAGCAAGGCAGGCGTGGTTATGAGCTTTGCCCTTGGCGGCGTTGTCAGCGTTGTGATGGTGTCAATAGCGTCAGTGCGTTACAACCGAGCCGCTCGAAGTGCCCGTGGGGTGACGAGCGTGTGGCTGGCCCAAGGAGCACGTAGCTTCCACAACACTCAGCTTAGGGCTGAACGAGGTGGGGAAAGCAACTTTTGTTCGAGTTTTGAGCGACGTGCTAATCTTCTAGGGGGAAAATGGCTATGTCCGGTTGCACGAACGAGGGTCCGAGAAAGAGGGGAGTCCTTCCTTTCCGTCTTCTTGAACCGTTTAGTACAATGCGCGACTTGTGAGTTGAGGAGGAAAGCTAAGAAGGAAAATGTTGAAAAACCAAAGAGCGGCGCTGCTCCGAAGGAAACTGCTATGTCACGACTACGTAGCAGTTTCCAGAACGTTGCTAGATTACCTCCCAAATAGGCTCCGCATGCATCCACCAGGTGCACATTGAAGATTGTTTATTTAGCTTTAAAATTAGTTTTCTTGTGCTTTTCAATGGAAGACTGGTGTTTTTGAGGTTAGGGTGCAACATGCAACACATTAAAGCCAGAAAATGAGCGCTGAAATTTCGTTTCCCTACCCCTTTTAGGTGCCTGGATTTCCCGACCAAAGTGTGTACTGCAATTGGTCCCTCGATTTCCTCCCGATGAGGTTGTGGTGCAGTGCAATTGCCTGGCAAGTTCCTTGCAGTGTACAGCGGTGGCGGAAGGCCGGTGTGCTTAGTCTCCGATTTCACCCATGGATCCGAAGTAGTCCCGAAGCGGCAACAAATGACATTGCAGAAGCCGGAGTGTCACGCTGTCGGATGTCGCAACCCCGACGGTTGGTCGTAGAAGCGCCGGCAAAAAGCACGAGCAAAGGCGATCGTCGCCGTTGTTGCAACGTCTGCAGCAGAAGAGGCGTCTTCCTGCCTTACGCACCAGTGCTGCTGGGACACCACCATGATTGTAACCGGCAACAGCTCGGCACTTGTATGAACCGAGAGGGCACTTTTTGGACGCCGCGAGCAGACCAGTTGGAAACTTGTTCCAGGCACCGTACCGGAACATCTGCGACCAGCGATCAGAATCTCAACGTCCGACTGCGTGACACGTGGGCTCTCGTGACATTAATTTTGGGCCGCTTCGGCACCACATTTGCTGCATGGTCGGTGCAGGACGCCAAATGCACCGGCCGAAGGCTCGTTCCACACACCCTAGAAGTTAATCCTTCGTGATTTACCAGAGCGTACTACCGTATTATCCCGAGAATTAGCCGACATACAATCGACAGCAAAGCGGATGAAGGGGAGGGTTAACTTTCAATGTGTCATTAGAAAAAGTTTGTTTTAGATTTGGTGACCCTCGAAACTTGCAATTGCAGGAAGGGGCAATGAACTAGAAGGCTGTCCTTCCCTGTCAGCACTGCAGTTAAAGGGCAACTCCGCTAGATTCCGAAGATTTCGCGATAATGAGTGATTTCGATTTAAAAAGCCCTAGTAAAAGACACTACGTCGTTTGCTTTGCAAAAAATGGGATGTGTATTTTTAAATCTAATTCTAAACACGAGCAGAAATTGAAACCGAAACTTCGGCTTCGGCCGGCAACATTGGCCTCGGGCCGCCAAGAAATGGCCATCACGTGGTACGAGATGTCACGTGATCCTCGGCCCAACGACGGGCGGGATTGGGGCGGGCGTGTAGCAGGTGTGTAGCAGGTGCGGGTGTCGTTTGCACCGCACTCTTCGCCGCGTTTTGGTGTCTACGGCATTCGACGACGTCTGCAGAACTGCGGCATAAGTCTGCGCACGTGGTGTCCGTAGTGTGGACGAAACTCCGAGAGACCATAATCACAAACGGTGAGACTACGACGGTGGTTGCGACGCGGAAGACGGCGGTAACGTTGCTGACGTCATGCGCCACGCTCGCCCGGAGAAGTAAAAACAAGCAAAAGGGGGCCATGATGATGATGTTTTGCTCAATGTTGGCTCCGCCCATGCCGTAGCCTTGAATGCGTTGTTGGCTGCGCCTGAATTCGCCCGTGTGGTCTTCCTAAGTGATACTGAAGAGGACTGCATTGTTTTTTAAAAACCAAAAATGATGCAAAGTTGCCTTTTAAGTAACGCTGTTTTTGTTGAGGTCCCCATTGGCCAGGGCTCTGCAATTACTAGAAGTGGGCTATCTTTCGGAGTTTCAGAGAAAATAGCGTAATAGCGAAGATAGGTGTTGCATCTTGGAATATTACAATAGGCACGGGGCATTTTTATTCTGGGACGCGCTCCCGTCGTCTGCCTGTTGCACAGCCAAATATGTTCTCGTTGCAGAGTTGCGGACGGACGTGTGGGTGGCGACGGGCAGCGCGTGTTCTACCGCAACCCCTCTGCCGACTACTACTAGCATCATCGAGATCTGCTGCCTGGCAACGCGGAAGAAAGTCGTCGTTCAGCCCTCGGAGGAATTTTATTTTATCCAACACACACACACTACCCTCTCGTTTGATTTCTCTTCTTTTTTTTCGAGTTTTAGTATTTGTCAACAACGGAAGGAGGGACCCCCTGCTGCGAGGGGGGCAAAAGCCTCTCTAGCCCCTTCTTTTTAATTGTACATAGGTCACTCGGTCTAAGCTCTACTACAATCGTCGCATAGGCAGACTTTCTCCATTGTGTTCTCTGGCGCACGTCGGGGGGGATTCTCGGAGAGCTTTTGTTGTTTTCCAGTGTCACAGCGGTATTCTTGCAAGAATGTTTGTGTTCTTCTTGTCTGAGTTTTGTCAGCCGTTGGATGTATCGATAGGAAACTCTTAATGCCACTAGGAATCGTCTTGTACAGTGGGTTTTTTGATGGCTGTCTTATTCCGTGCACTCGCGTCGTCTGGCTCATGTCTCAAGCAGAAAGGTGCTTTGTCGAAATCGCCATTTGTTAGGAAGAACTTTTTCGTAACAACTCAATAAACTTGGAATTTCTACGTCATCGACGTCTCCTTGTCTGGCGGAGTGCTTGCTGAAATGGAGCTACCCCACGCACGTGGCTACATCTTGGCATTTGGCGTAATCTTGGGTTTCGGATGAATGTTTTAACTTGGGAAGGTGGGGTGACCTAAGCCTGCGCAGGTCCGTGGTCCGTGATTCATGCGATGGTTTATTCTAAACATTTCACCGCTGGAGACCTCTAACCAACGATGCATGACAACCAAGGTAAGTGGAAAAATAACTGTACATAAGTGTCACGAGTGGCCCAAAGTATGATACGCATAAAGCACGCGCGTTGATACTCGCTGCTGGACAGTGTGATCGTCCTTAGTAGGGTCTCGCTACAGTTTTTTTGGAGAGGATATCTGAAGGCAACAAACTTCTTACTGCATGAGAATCTGACTTTTGAAACTTAGAATTGTAACTCCTACAAGCAACCACCCAGTAAAACAAAGTAAAGGAGGCATCGACTGCAGCGGAAGTGACTTGCTCAGTGCCTGCGTGTGCGTCGGACGCATCTGATGAATTTTCTTGAAGTTCGGTCGGAAGTATGTGGTAAATAGGACTGATGGCAAGAGTGCACGAAAGTTCATCAATCGTGGCACCGTTTGACAGTTTCAGATCCACAGTGTGGGGATCCTTGCTGAGAGCCGATGACTTGCAGTACGTAACTCCGCACGTGTACGCTCGCCGGCGTGGTCGTTGGGGCCACAGCGCTGCACTCAATAATGTGCCCGGCATTCACAAGTTGTTTGCTTTCAACAAAACGCCGCTTTCCGTCGGCAATGTACTCCGTAATACAGTGATGGAAGTGCTAGGCCACCGATCTCTATGACAATTGCTGGATCGCGCTTCCCCGCTTCGAGCCATTGGGGGAATTGAAGCTCCCGGTTGGCCATCTTACGGGTTCCGCGGAAGCGTTGTCAAAACGGCGGTTGTCTCTGTTGTCACGTGACCTACACACGGTAACCATGGTAACTGTCTAGGCTTGACAGCGCTAGAGCATATCCCGACGGTGGCTTCATTAGGGAGTTTTAGAATAGCGCACGCTAAAGCTTTGCGCACGCAAAGAATAGCGTCGTCGCCACTGCGCATGCTCCGAACGCAAACCAGGTTTTGCGCTTTGCGTGCGCAATTTTAGCGCGCGCTATTTCTCGGAAATAGCGTGCGTACGCAAAGATTCTTTGCGCTTCTCCAAGGAGGATTCGTGATGAGAAGTTGGCTAAAGCCAAGACGAGCACAGTTAAAAAAAATGGCGGCTTCCAGGATTATGTCGGCAGCTGTTTTGGCGGCGTCGTGAGTTCGACGTCGGCGGCATCCTCGCGACTGCAATTTTCAATCCGGGACGACATTGTACTCTGTTTGGCAGCGATCACCGGCAACTTGATGCTTGCGACGCGCGAACATTTCACGGCGAACGAACGATGTGCGAAGGTCAGTACACGAGACCTCTCTTGCCGAGGCGACGCAAGCGGACACGACCGGTCAACCGCTCGCGTCGCGTTCTCATGTTTAAACAAATTAAAATGCCACTCTGGACCAAAAAACTCGTTTTTTTTTCTAAAGTTACACCATTTCGTGTGTGAAATAAAAAATTTTACTGTATCTTGGTGGCGTCGCAAGCGCGAGATGCTTGGGCTTTTGCGTCGCGGCGGAGAAACGCTATTCTAACTCTCCTGCGTCGCGTGCGCTAATACAAGCGCTAAATTTAGCGCTAGCGTGCGCTAAAATTGCGTACGTTATTCTAAAACTCCCTATTCTCGGTGCGGTGAAGCGCGATCCAGCAATTGTCATAGAGATCAGTGTGCTACGCCATTTGCGCCAAATTGCGCAATGAAGGGAATCCTGCTACGTGCTAGGTCTTGTGCCAAAAAGCCATTTTTGCTAAGAATAGCGTCACACCAGCGCCGAGATAGGCTTAAAACACACGCAATATATATATATATATATATATATATATATATATATATATATATATACACACACACAGGGTGTCACAAAAGAAAATTTACACGGTCTTTTTTACCGCAAAAATAAACTAGGCATCGCCGAACGCTCATTCTCCGCCCAAAGGTGGTGCTAGAGGTCACAACCAGATGCCAAAGTTTCAGCCCGATCCGATAAGTTAATCAAAAGTTATAAGTGATTTTCTGAAAATTTCAATGAGAAAATGGCGGCCGACAGTTTTCAAACACATGGGGCTCTATGCACCAGAAACCGAAAACGGGCAAAAATGGGCTCCATTTTCCCATTGAAATTTTCAGAAAATTACTTATAACTTTTGATTAAGTTATTGGATCGGGCTGAAACTTTGGCATCTGGTTGTGACCTCTAGCGCTACCTTTGGGCGGAGAATGAGCGTTCGGCGATGCCTAGTTTATTTTTGCGGTAAAAAAGACCGTGTAAACTTTCTTTTGTGACACCCTGTATATATGGGCGGTTTCATTTGGATTCAGGCAACGAGGTACAATCATATTTTTTATTTTGCCTCAAATTTTTATATTTCGTGGCGCAAGTTCCAAAAAGAACGTTCCTTTTTATTTTAATGTCTTAACATGTTTAGTTTCCGAGAAAAAAAAAAAAAAATCTCAAAGAAGCAGGAAAGAACGACGAGGTTTTGACGATTGTCGTGTGTGACGTTTTTGAACCACTCTCAATCTCAAAGTATTCAGAAGAGAGCGTCTATACCTTTTAGTGTGATATTTATGAAAGTCGGTAAAGCGACATTCCAACTACTATTTATTATTCGTCTGTAGTCTTTGTAAAAATTCCCAAACATGCCTCCGCAAACAACTGTGACCTAGATTGCGGATTTTTTTGTTGAATGAACTATGTTTAGTATTGCCTTGAAAATATTACCACGTGTAGAAACTTTCATTACCTTCCAAATTAAGCAAGTTTTGTGCCTTTATCATGTATGAGTACTGAGAAATAAATTATGAAACGAAGAAGGTTTTCACTTTTCGTTCAATTTCAGCACGCTGTATAATTTTTTTTTTTCTTTTTGCGTTGCGTTTTTGTCAGATGCTTTTTTTTACCTAGAATACATTCCATTAGAGGTATATGCACTGGTTTTGAGTTTTAAGCCTCTAAATATGTCAGAAAAGAGCAAATGCCGATGCAGGTTTTGACGATTGTCGTGTGTGACGTTTTTGAACCACTCTCGATCTCAAAGTATTTAAAAGAGAGTTTCTATATTTTTTATTGTGATATATATGCAAGTCGGTAAAACGACATTCCAACTACTATTTATTATTCGTTGATCCTATCTTTATAAAAATCCCAAACATGCCTCCGCGAACAACTGTGACCTAAACTGCGGATTTTTGTTTTTGAGTCGACTATGTTTAGTATTGCTTTTAAAACAATACCACGTGTAGAACCTTTCATTGCCTTCCAAATTAAGCAAAGTTTGTGCCTTTATCATGTACGAGTACTGAGAAATAAATTAGGAAACAGGGAAGGTTTTCACTTTTCGTTCAGCACAATGTATAAAAAAAGTCATTTTTAATTTTTTTTCTCGCGTCGCGTTTTCTTTACACCCTTTTTGAGCCCAGAATACAACGCGTAAGGGTATATGCACTGTTTTTGAGTTTTATGCCACTAAATATGCTAAAAAATGATTTTGTTTTGTTATCAACATGAATTTCGCATTAAAAAATTAAATTTTGGCATTTTAAAATCTAGGTTTCCAATAGGAAGTATATTTTACTCTACTGTCTTGCAACATTATACTTTGATATTTCTAACGTAGTAGAAATATCAAATCAGCGCACCGCGGAAATTGACTGAAACTTCGCTTTCGGCAGTTGCGATTTTATAGTGTTTAGACGTTTGGAATTGCAAACTTGTTATTATACGCCTAACGACATCAATGTCTTTTATATGAGTATTTATTAAACGTCCCTTAGATTGTTATAAAATATACAGCTGTAACCGATAAACCCACCATCAGCATTTGCTCTTTTTTTAGCATATTTAGAAGTTTAGAACTCAAAACCAGTGAATATACCTCAAACAGAATGTATGCTGGGTAAAAGAAAAGTGTGCCAAAAAACGGCAACGCAAAAAAAAAAAAAATATATATATATATATTATACAGCATGTAGAAATTTAGCAAAAAGTGAAAACCACCTCTGTTTCATGGTTTATTTTTCATCACTCGTACGTGATAAAGGCACAAAATGTTGCTTAATTTGGAAGGCGATGAAAGGTTCTACATGTGGTATTATTTTAAACGCGATACTAAACAGTCGACTGAAAGAAAATGCGCAGTTCAGGTCACAGTTGTTCGCGGAGGCATGTTTGAGGATTTTTACAAAGATTAGAGCGACGAATAATAAATAGTAGTTGGAATTCCGTTTTACCGACTTGCATATATATCACAATAAAAAAACTATAGAAGCTCTCTTTTGAGTACTTTGAGATTGAGAGTGGGTTCAAAAACGCCACACACGGACAATCGTCAAAACCTCGTCGTTCTTTCCAGCTTCTTGGAGATTTGTTTCTCAGAAACTTAACATGTCAGGACATTAAAATAAAAAGGATTGTTCTTCTTGGAACATGCACTACAAAATATAAAAAGTTTAAGCAAAAAAAAAAAAAAAATGAAAGCCTTTAACAACTTCCTGTAACGCCGAATCAAAACGCAGCTCTTGAGGAGAAGGAGGGGAAGGTACGGAGAGGAGGCTATGCCCCTCCTCCTCTCCTGGTCGCCTCCCATTTAGGGGAAAATTTTCCGTTACATTTAGCGGGGAAATGTTTCACTAGATTTATCGGGGAACGTTTTCCGCTAAATTTAGCGGGGAAATTTTTTCGCTAGATTTAGCGGGAAGCGGAAAAATTTCCCCGTCAAATTTAGTGGGGAAATTTACCCATAATGCACCGCGTGGTTACGCCGACGGCGTCGCCATCGGCGTCGGCGTAACCGCGCGGTGCATTTTGGGTTGATTTCGCCGCTAGATTTGGTGGGAAAAATTTTCCGCTAAATTTAGCGGGGAA